GATCAAGACACCGGAACAAGTATGTTAATCCTTCTGGAGTATCCTTGTTTTCGAGAGCCAAGAACAAAGTCTAGAAAACTTTCGAAATCCATCTCCCGAGCATTACCTCCTCCAATTTTGCCACGACGGACATGCTCATCAAATGCTGTTTAAAAAAGCAAACATTTAAAAAAAAAAAAAACAGCATGACAATATAAAGTCTATTATGCACAAAATCACAGTGAAATATAGCTTTCTAATAAACAGAAGGAACTTATTATTTATATGCAAATGTTCAAATACTTTATAGGTAAGATGCTGGAAACTTTGAGCAGTTCCATAAGCAACAGGTATAGCCGGCATTCAGCTGGCATATTAATGAAACATGAAAACAGGAAAAAACTATAAACTGTGCCCCCCTCTTTTAACAAAAGAAGCAAGCTTCTAGGAAATGAAAAAATTCCAACAGACAGCAAAAAGAATGGAATGACGCATACATGACTCCTAGCTCCTACTCAACAAATAAAAATGTCATATCTTCAACCAATTTACATAGAAAACAATGGTTGCGCAGAATCCTACCCCTCTCAATGAAAATATCTGTTAATGTCCCATCTGCATACTCTCGAAGTTCCTGCTTGCTCAGTGACCCATTCATATCTTTATCAAGTGCAAGAAACATATCTGCAGAACTAAAATAATCAAATAAGCTACAATAACAACTAGAACAGTAAAGCTATCTGATTTATTGATTAACTTTTATGGTACATGATAAAAATGCATAATAAACTACAGGACATGTAAATAGTATCACAAGGATTGGCCTCCTGTAGCATATATACCAGACCCATTCCATCAAGGAGAAAATTTAATTGTTGGGATGAAAGGAAGATGAAAATATCAGGAACCCTATCCAGTCTTCCCTAATCCCCTGTTCTCCAAGCAGAGTGATAAGTGGCACAAGAGGACAGAAATAGTTTCCCCACACAATGACATTCATGAAAACTATGAATGACATTATTGTAGCCCAAACTTTCAATAGAAAAAGATGCACAGAGACCGGGTAGCAGAACCCTGGAAATTTTGTTACTCTTTTCTTTCTCAATTTATTTATTTATTTTCTATCTATCTATTACTTATTTCTTGAGAGGGGATGGAGATGAGAAGTGGGGGAAGAGAAATTCTAGTGTTAGGAATATGTAAATACAGAAAATAATTAAATTCCCCTCGTAGATGCACAAGCATATTTCTGAGACATACCACCCAAATCAAATACAGATGAAGAAATCAGCCTGTTAAAATCCTCTCACTCTCAGGAGGTTGAGAAACTTCTAAGCACGAAAATTATTACTCCGCAAAAATTGTTTTAAATATTAACAACAAAAAGGCATTAACAGTACATCAGTTTAATCTAAGCATATTGCCTTAATAGTCATCATATTATTATGTATCTCAACTGCATTATCACATGCTCAGGCAGTTCAGATATACAAACCAGAGATAGTCTCAAGATAAAACAGTAGCTTTCAATATTTAAAGTGAGAGGTATTGGTGTTGAACGTCATCAGTGTAGCTAAAGAATAAGAGAAAATGATACTAGGAGCATATTATGAAAACTCAAGACTGAAAATACCCACCACAAATGCGTTGGGCAGATGTTAATGAGAACCAGTTTTCAGCTTGTTCAGTGTCAGTGACTTCTTCCTCACTTTCCTAGCACAGATGTAATCCAAAGTCAACATCAGCTGTGTATAAACAAAAAATTGAAAATAGTAAAAATAATAATAGTAAAGATACATTTCAATACATCACACAGTAAGCTTTGCCTTACGTCAGATTCTATTTTATCTGTCACATTCATTAATGCAAAAATACTTGCCACCAATTGGATGTGATATACATATTGTCCTAGAATTGATGGTAGAGAGTTATCCCTACCATTTTTTTTCTGCCTAGAAAAGCATGCAAGAAACAGAATACACCACTCATAGTCATTCTAACACACATTCAATTGCCACTGACAAGTAGATAACCAAATCAGTTATTTGAGCAACATAAAGACCCATGTAAAGCAAAAACGGGATAAAAAATTCAAAGGCATTGGCACATATTTTTACAAGATATATTCTCATATCTTGTAACAATTCACTGGTAAAATAAATTTAAAAAAAAAAAACCAATGAATTCCCCAACCAGATGGCAAACAAAAAGACTTCACTGTATCTTCAAAACAATTTGCAGAAAAAATATTTAAGTAGAGAACATAACTCAAACTGGCTTACCAACATAACCACTAATCAGTGAAAACTACATTTGCAGAAGGAAGAAAACCCTGTATACTGAACTCCTTTGGTTTGCCCATGAAGATGGATCATAGTTGTATCAGTATTTATAGTTGAATTAGTTTTTAATAATACGTTTCTTCTTTAAGCTAATAAAGCTAAAACTTGCAAGGAGAAAAACAGAGTTCCAAGACCAATAAGCAAGAAACAAGGGTCCACCACTTATCCAGTACGTTTTTTAATGGATTAACTTCAGAACAACCAGAACACAAATCACCTGATGCAGTTCCATCAGTTCCTGGAGACAGTTGCTGAGCAAAATCTTCTTTATGCATGCCTTTCCTGCAACATAAAAACTCTCAGCCATTTGAACATCCAAAAATCAAAAAAAAAAAAAAAACAGAGAATGCATATATGATGGGAACTATTAGGTTACCAAAAGGGGCCAAGTTCTTCCACCAACAAAGAGTTGAAAAGTGGAATTGGACTTTTTACAGATTTACAGGTAGCAAGGCTTTGTAACACGGAATTGATCAATCAAATTGATACATATCATTGCATTCAAGTGAAGTATATCTTATATGTGGGTATAAAATATCTATAGCACCAGAGGAAGGGCACAATAAAGACGCAGTTAAACGTCGGAATACGTTGTCATGTAGAGATGGCAAGTTTTTAGTTTCTTTAGGTGGCTTTACAGCAAGTGCTTATTCTTAGACCCCTGTAACACTAACTTAAAAAAACAGCATCAATGATTGCTTGAATAGGCTAAGCCTCCTAACCTATTAAAGAATGGCATTGCACTTGCATAAATACTTAGACAATGGATCCAAAGAGGTCTAGCAGCACAATGGTTGGTGGGAGACAATTCAGAGGGATCTAGTGGCAAAAGAATGGGTGCAAAACAGGCACTAGGCCATGATCCACAGCTTAGGAAAGATTGAGCTCAACATTTGGACTCCAATAACCAACTGTAAGGCAAGATCAAGTGACACAAGTGTTCAAGGTCAAGAGAGCTGTCATTAGACTAAAATTATGAGGAGACAAACCACCTTCAGCTGTTGCCTTTATATCCATAAACCAACATGTCAAGCACACAACTGGAAGTGAATGTGAACTTATAAAGCATATATCTTTGGTTGGGTAACGGATAACTCCCAGCAGCATTAGACTTTATCCTTCCTTCAAATAATTACTTGACCAGATTTAGAAAAGAGCTCCATAATAATCCAACCAGAGAAATAAAATAATGTCGGAGGTGCTAGTGCAGGTGCAGGTGACATTTTTTGAGAGGCCATAGTAGAGCATGTCAAGAATTCAGTCACATTCATTAACATATGAAACTTTAATATGCCTGGATATTCCAAGCAAAAGATGCCATAATGTTTGCAAATAACAGGCACCAGTGGTTTCTCACAAAATGCAAAATAAAAACTTTTGGATGACTTCAACTAAATTCAAGCTATATAAAATCAACCATTTCTTTCAATGAAGGTAACCAGGATTCAGATCACAGCAAACCTCGCCTATGAGGATCACAAAAGAAGAAAAATTTGTGAGCAGCTATGCGGCAGTACATTTGAACAAAGGCTGCAGGCATGTCACGAAGTTGTGCCAGATTAGGAATAAGTCCTCTTATGTAGGCCTCCATTTCCTGCATGTATTAGACTGTGAATTTTTCTTCTTACTAGTAAGAATAGATGGGCATACAATGATTAGCAATCTATGCATTGATTGTATTTATAAGAAATTATACATTCTTGGATACAGAGGGGTTAAAAAGTGTAAAGAACCTCACATGAGGTTGCAGGAAACCATCAGAATCTTCATCAAGCTCACTCATGTCAATTCTGGCCTGTGTAAGTGAAACCTGAACAGATGCAAAAGTAGCATCACATGAAACAGAAAGTAAAAGCTGACAAAAGGGGGAGATATCAAAATGTAACTATTATGTGGCAAAATTTATATTTTAAGTATCAAAGCATGAAATTTGGTCTCATGCCTTATCCAAGTGAGCAAACAACTGTACAGTTCAGCTATAGTGATGCTATTGCAACTTATGAGTTATAATGTGACAACGAAAGAATCAAACACTCACACTCCTTTTTTTCTTTTGCTAGAATAAACTAGATCAAATCTCAAATTATCATATCTTAAAATCCAAAATTGCAAGTTCAAAAATGTTGGATGTAAGTGGTTTATTAACAGCGGTTCATGTATGTGTTCACACATGCCAACACAGCTAATGATGTCAAAGGAGAAATCCAGAAAAAATGCCACAACAAAGCCTAAATACTAAACAATTTATGTCTTGAAAGGCTCAACTTAAACCAAAAAGAGTTCAAGTTAATAATTACCCCATAAAAACCCATTATACATATTGCCAACAAAGAGACAACAATGTTCTCAACTATTCACTCTACTCTAAATGTGCTGTACTTCCGTTCTCCACATATCATCCACACAAGGACTGAGATATATAAATGCCATATCTCCTTCCCTCTTTCTTGCTTCACCAATCTTCCCAACAATGTATCACATTCACAATTATTCTAGTGAGTATCCAAGACATTGAAGGGCAAAACTGCACGATCACAGGCACCATAACTTCCATCTTTCCAGCATATTAAATGCCAATCAATGATTCCTCTGGTCATATATGACTAGGCAAGACAGAAGGATTATAGAGCTAGAGGCCAATTGCAGGTTAATCCACTGAAATTAGGCTTGGACAGGCCTCAATGGGCCAATGTTGATGAAAAAACAACAAAACAGAAACTTCTCTTGTTACATCATTAAGCAGTGTTAGATTAATACCAAGAATCTTCTCATAAATCACATTCCAGAGTGCAGAAAAAGGGCCACCCTGGAAAATCTGCCCACCATCCATAAGCCTTTCTTTAGAAAAGCAACATCATTTTTTTTCATCAAAATTTACACCTCGTAAGCTCCTTTTGCAAATGATCCAACAAAAGGAATCCTCCCCATTTATAACTCTTCCTCCAATTATGCATATAAATCTCCAACTCCTACAGCCAGTCTCACAACTTTCCCCTCAGGGCCTAGTTGAATTGGGGTTTCATGAAACCCCCTAAACCCCCTTGTTTGACTGGGGATTTTCCTAAACTGTCATTCAGATTTTGGGGAAACTAAACAAGGATCTCATTCAACCGGTTTTCATAAAACCCAATTTCATGAGATCCTCTTTTGATACCAACTTCACAAGACCCTTGTTTGATTTCCCCAAAACCCAGGAGTACGGTGGGTTTCAACTTTGTCCACACCCAGTCTTTTGATTTCATGAAACCCTCCTTTCAAACCCTCTCCCAAAACCCACTTAATCCCATCACTCCTCAAACTCTCTCTTGTCCAACTTCAACCCCCTCCCCCGGGGGCGGAAATTGAAACATTGAATCAAACAAGCCCCAAGGGTAATACACCACACAAACAAATTGAAAAACAGTTGCATGCCAGCAAAGAAAATATTTCTAGTTTTAATTCTTGCACAATGTTGCCTTTGTAATCACCAACAAGTAAAAAGCTAGTGTCATAACAGTGGGCAATATATGGTGATTTGTACCATGCTTTTATTGCATATTCCCATCTCAAACCAGAATAAACAAGTAGATAAAAGATGGGAATATAACCACCCCTAACAGCATAAGCCCATTGGAATAGGAAAGATTTATAAAGGTGCCATAAATAAACAGCAAAATACGTGAACAAACAACATATAACAGACAAGAAGATAAAATACACATGTTAAAGAACAAAAATTGGCTCTAAGCATAAAGAAGTGAAAACCCACCGTACGCATCACATAAAGGTAGAAGGGCAAAATCGCAATTCTTCCTGATTCATCTTTTTCAAACTTCATGAAGTTTGAAGGACTGAAAAATCGTCGACATTTTGGGCCTATTTGTTCTGTACATACCGAGGCAATGTGGCAGAAGTCCTCATAATTCATCTAAAAAGACAATAAAAAAAAGAAATATTTTAGCAATGTTGCAGATAAGCATAGATGAACAAGAAAAAAAATTATAAAGTTTCCACTATGACAGAGATATAATGGTATATGTTAGCTAAAAGAACAGAATCCAGAAAATAGGCTGTAATTATACTATTAACTACAAGACTACCAAGCTCAACAAGCAGCCAGAAAAATGCAATACCATTCACTCTTTTGAGCAAGGAAGCCAGCCTCTCATATGTGGCTACAGAAGTGTAATCCACAATTTAACAGCCACCCCCGTCACTGCCCTCTAAATTCAGCAACTTAAAAAGAAAGATTATAAGGCATATCCTCCGTAGCTATGTCAGATTGTATTGACTGCCCTCTATTTCTGACATACTAAATACATCAACCTTAGGCGTATTTAGAATAAATAAATGCTAAGACAGAGGACAAATATGAGGTTTGCTAATTAGTCATGTTAATATTGTTTGCTTGGGGGAAGATATACTGTAGCTCCTCAAGCTCATTCATCCAATATAAATTATCATGAAAGTCAAACATCCACACAGATTATTTGATTAGCAAACTAATTTCGCTGTCAATATGCATGAGATCTTTTTTTATTTTAAGGCATGCTATTCACACAAAGTTTCTATCTATCATATCTCATCTGTGCTTGCTGCTGTTGTAGTTAATATCAATTGTTGTTTCCGATTTTTCTTTCTTTAATTTTGAGATTCTTTATAATTTTAATATGGTAACCAAGTAACCCGATGTTCCAGAAATGAATATACAAGTGAAGCATTTTTTTTTAATATATTACAATCTTATAAAAACAACAGGATGTCCCTTCAACTGATTGTATTCTTCTCAGTTTATCCCAATGTTGGTTAAAAATTAATATAAAAAGAAAAGAATTATGCACATATATTTTTCTTCGAACATAAACTGTGATAGACATATGGTTTATCTACCTTTATGACTTCATCCTTTTCAAGCGTCATATATATCACAACCAAATTATATAGTATGTTATGGCATCAAATTTAGTATCCAGGCTTTATTGTTAGTATAACATTTACAAAATCTCCCTAATGTACAGATATGAGGTCATTAACGTAATTTTACCCAAATTTTCATTACTTTTATTGGGGCTTCTGAGCATTTCATTAGTTTAAAGTGTACAAGTGATGCACAGTGTTTTCCCTAAAAGAAAATGAATCAGCTACCATTGACAAATTAGATAATTCCAAAGAAGCTCAAAATATATAGAATTGTTAATGACGAAGAAAGTACATAAAAATGATGGGTGCACAGACCTTTTCAGCTCCAGTGGCATCATCAATTACACAATTTTCTCTTAAGCAAACCCACATAGCATCCAGATCATCAGCATTTAGCAAGAGATCAGATTGCTTCTGTACAAGTGAAATGAAGATAATAATTAATATATTTCCAATCCACATGATTAAAATAAACAAAATAGTCATTCATATTATAGCTGGAAAAACATGCCAGAAAATTTTAATACTCAACAAATTAACTTCACATCATAGACCAAAAGTACATCTTCATTTTAATTTTGAACAGTGAGAAACAACTTAATTATACCATGGGAACCTCAGTCTTTGAAAGGTTCTCCTTTTGATTGACATAATTTTGACCATGCTGGTTATGATTTCCCAAAAGATTCAATACTTCAGGTAAGAATAACCAGTAAAAAGTTACCAAATATGGCCAATTAGTGCCAGCAATACCTTTAAAAAACGAAATTTAGCCAGCCTTTGGACCCTGTGACTGATGGACCCTTCTTCAGGTTTCTGAACAGGGGAAATTAAACAAGAAATTAATAAATAAATAAAGAGGTAAAGAAAAATACATGGAAAATCTAACCTAGTAAGAATATCAGGTTATATATATGAAGATGAAGAATGTTATCTTTAGCATTTGCGCTTTACTTGTTTCCAAAGTAAATACTACGAAAAAGAGGTAAATGTTATCTACAGCCAAATAAGGAAATGGATAAACTCATTCTAATTGAGTCACTCCTGCAACAACCATGACCATTCACCTTCTTATAGAAGCTTGGAATTGTGCCGGCTTCAGCACTCTTTTGTTGCTTCTCTTTGAAGATATCAAGCAAGATTCTCTTTGTCTCAAGTTCTGCAATGGAAATTAAAATATATAGAGTTACCTAGCCAATGGAGAAACTTCATCTGCTGATAACGACCATATTTGCATTAGTTATATATTTACTAATGAAGTGCATATACCTGAGGCCAAAACAAAATGACCGTGAACATAAAATTCAATCAATCCTGATCATAGCAACTTAGAATACATGTCTTTCATTTTGAACTGGAAGCAAAAATGCTGCTTCTAAATCAATGTCTTTTTTACGTGGATCAAATAAACCATGGCTGCCCCTTCGCGTGCTGTTATATAAAAAGCCAAAATCCAGAACAACACATGCATCTACGCAATTCTAAGATACCTAAATTTAATAAATTACAACATCCATTTTCTGAAAAGTAGCCTTTGATTCCAAGTACGTTACAATAAGTTCCGAAATTAACCAACCAAAGAATTTGCAAGTACATAAGCATGCAAATGGACGAATATGAAGAGAAAATACACACCCATCAAGGCCTCGGAGCCGAGTCCTGCACCAGATCCGATGTAGCGGCGGAGGTTCCGGACCCACAACATGGACGAAGGAGGCGGGATCTTCCTCGCGGCCGACGCTTCGTGACCATCGCCGGCGCTCGACCCGCTGTACATTGCTTCGAAGTGCCTCTACTGTTAAAATATTACCAGATTAACCTTCAGAAAAAGCTCGATCTGTGCGTAAATCGACCCCCCCAAAACCCTAGAAGCAGGGACATCCCTCACTGGTTTCGCGACTGTGTAGCTCTTCCGAAACCGTGAGAGTGCTCAAAAGGTGTGTTCAAACGTCGAAGGTGCGACGGGTAGATGGACTTCTTTCCATTTGTTTTGTGCCTTTGTCACGGAACTTTGAGGTAATTGCAAATTCACTGCTGATGTTTACAAAGATTGATAAAGGGCGTGGACACTTCTGAGGTAATTTCAAAAACAAATTTAAGGCTGAAGCAAATCGGATTTAAATTAATTTAATTTAATTTAATTTAAATTTATTATTTATTTATATCTCTAACTTTGATATAAATTTTATAAAATATAAATTTATTAATTTATATATATATTTAATAAATAATTTAAAAATAAAATATTACCTTTTTGTACTTAAATTTCTCGATTCTGTTTTATCAATTATGTTTATTTCTAAATTTTTTAATTTTTTTAATTTAACCATTATAATTTTAAATTTATTAATAATATATATGTACATTTATTAATTTAATTAAATAAATATTATTAAAATTTATATTTAAATTTTTAAAATATCAAATTACTTAATTTCATATTTAATTCACTTTATTTGAAATTATAAATTTGATCAATTAAAATTTATAACCAAACTTTAATTATAAATTTAAATTAAAATTTCACCAATTGACAATCCTAAACAAATTAGTTGAGCAACCCTATTAATAAAACACAATTATTGAAGACAACCTCTAATTAAAACACAAATTCAATTGGTGATCACCGGTGTAATATCATTTCAACCTTCACCTAATTGCAAATAGGCCTGTTTGTGATTGATAAATTAGCTCAGTTTTGGTTTTAGAAAAATACTAACCAAGACCAGAATTTTCAAGACTATTCAATCTTGTCATGAATTAGGTGTTTGGTTGAGTCAGCTGAGCCAATTCTGGGTTTTAGCTCATCTCAATTATGTTTAACAAAAAAATTTAAATATTAATTTATAAATATTTTTGAGTGATTAAAAAAACTACTAATAATAACCTTGTGTTAAAAGATTATCCTACTTTTATTTTTTAAATTTTTTTTCACAATAAATGTAAGGAAAAGTAAACAAAAGTTTTACTTCATAAAAAATATAAATTATATTTCATTCAATTATATTTTTCTTAATTATTATTACTTTTTTCTTATGTTAAACAATTTTTTTCATTTTTATATGTTTTTCTTAAATTTGAATTTGTATAATAGAATAAATTTTGATTTATTCTGGATATTTATATTTAAATTGAAGATATTTTAAAAAGTGAATTTTATATATTTTTTGTTAATTAATGTATTTAAAATAAAATTTATATCTTTTTTATATCTAAAAAATAAATTGTATAAATTTGTATCTAGAAATTGAGTGAAAATATTTTTTATATTTAAAATAAAAAGCAAAACAAAATATTTATAATTCGGTTCACGATTTAATTCTCGTAATTCTTCGTAATTGTAGTTCACGATTTAATAATAGTCTAACTCTCATAATTTAATTTTAGTTCCAATTCTAATTTCAAAAATCAAAAATCTTAATTAAATTGTAAATATTAAAACTAGACCGAAATTAAATATTCTAGTTTAACATAAATTTTTCACAATTTAGCCGAAACCAATTTATGGTTCAAGCTGAAACCATGAACAAGACTAATCACAAATCCTTAAACGTTATGTACGTATAACAGTGAATAAAGATGTAATGGCTAGTAAATTAACTTAAAGTTTAACGACTTGAGCCTTCTTAAATTAAAAAAATATTATTATTATATAAATAAAATTTTATTCCTTTAAAAAATTATGTTCTTGATTCTCATAATTTAATTTTAAATCCACGGTTGAATGAAATATAAATGGAGAAAGGATGAGCAAAAAAATAACAGTTAATTTCAAAGTTTTTAATACAAATGTCATTTCACTAACTTTTTAAACCATGGTATTGGCATCACTATGTGAAATAGTATATTGTAATATCTTTATTTTATATAGTAAATAACTAGATATAAATAATTTAAAATTAATATAATAAAATACTTATAAATTTGTTTAAATTAAAAAAATTAATTATTGAATATGTAAGAATCCAATATTTATTAACTTAGTACTTGTTAAATCTAAATTACTGATTTAAAATACTTACAGTAAACTTATTCAGTAGTAATTTTTAATATCTTATATATTATATTATATTATATTAATTTTAAAAAATAGATATGGGACAGGATATCACAATTTCTCTATTTAAATATTTAATATTCCCACCAAATCACAAATAAATTTGAATACCGTTTTTGTTTTAATAATATTTGAATAATTCAATAACTAGTCAACTTAAAAATTTATTAAATCTGAATTACTGTAAAAGATATTTAAATTTAAATTATTTTAAAAATAATTTATAATTTTTTATATATTTTATTATATTATTCTTAAAAATTTATATAAGACAGAGTGCCACGGTGTATCTCTGTCCAGCCTAGGCTCTTTAGTTCCCAAGCAAAAGCAGAATAGATAATTAGAGATGACTGCCATTTAGTTTTTGTATTTGCAAGTTTATTTAAGTAATTTTCATATCATTGAAATATAAAGTAAAGAATAATTTGTTATCGCATCTAAAAATTCTCTTAAAAATACAAATTACAAAGAATTATGGTTCTCTTAATCTGTGGTGTTTTCCACATTTATTTTATAAAAACCAATCCAATGAATGGTTTTAAAAAGGAAAAAAATATTTTTTACATTTTTCTACGAATTTCTCCATTGAGATACGGAGTAAATATTACATAAAATGTATTAAAAAATATCTAATGCGACTGTTATAAAATTCTATCGTAAAAAATTTATGTCGTCATTCACTAATCATTTATTTAAAACACATGGTTTATATGCAATTTTTTGTGAACTAATAGTCCCGTTTATAATAGTAAAAAATGTGTTTCAAAAATTTATATAGATGGAAATTTTTCTGAGATAAAAGTAATTCGCATTTAATGTCTAAAAAATCCCAAAAATATTAAAAATTTAAGGGGAAAAAATACCAGCGTGGGCCGTAATACGGGCCGTTTAACATCTCTCTCTGTCTCTATGTCTCTCTGTCTGATCCTCTGATCTCTAGTGACTACGGAGTAACCTCCGAGAATGGCTTCCTCTGTAGCTGCATGCATCTTCTCTCCGCAAGCTCTTGGTCGATCCAATGGAGGCACTCGAAAAGCCAGCAGCAAGCCCCTCGCCAAAAGGCTGTCCAAGTCCAACCCCAGCCCCAAGCACAACAACCGCAGAGCTCGCACCGCCTCACGCGACTTCCCGCCGCCGCCGCCCTCCTCCACCGCGGGGGGCGACGCCACCACCTACACTCGTCTCCCTCCCAAGGATGACTTCTTCCTTTATTCGTTTGACTCTTCATATCAGTCGGCCGCCGAGGTCAAGCTGTCCGAACCCAGTGCGACGACTCGGAGGAGTTCTAGGAGAGGCACTGAGCGTGAAAGTGATAGCTCGAGCGACGAAGAAGAGTCGTTTCATACGAATTTAGGGCTTTCGTGCGGAAAATTTGAGGTCTTCGAGGTGAATTCTGATCAGGAAGATGAATATGATGACAGTGTATCCCCATTGAATGGGAGGACTCCAAGGATATCCAGGAAGGGCGTTGAGCCTCAAATTTCTGGATTAATCAGCGAAGAAGAGGTTTTCGACACTAATTTAGGGATTTCGCACGAGAAATTTGAGTTGTTCGAGGTGAATTCTGATCCAGAAGATGAAGATGACGAAGGGGACTACGGTGAGGACGATAATGTCGATGATGTTCTAGGGTTTTCAGGCGGGGAAGCTGAGGACGTGTTTTCTGGAGGTGAAATTGAAGGAGAGGAAGTGAAGGTGAAGGAGAAAGGGGTGCCGGCGGTGATGCGATGCTTTGACAGGGCGAAGATCTATGTGAAGGCCGGTGATGGCGGGAATGGAGTGGTGGCGTTTCGGAGAGAGAAATACGTGCCTTTGGGGGGACCATCCGGTGGGGATGGCGGCAGAGGTGGAAACGTGTATGTTGAAGTTGATGGGTCGATGAACTCACTGCTGTCCTTTCGGCAGAGCATTCATTTTCGGGCAGGAAGGGGCCAACACGGGCAGGGGAGGAAGCAAAACGGAGCTAAAGGGGAAAATGTTGTGGTGAAAGTGCCACCAGGGACAGTGATAAGGGAGGCTGGGAAGGAGGGAGAGACAGGGAAGGTGCTTTTGGAGCTGTTGTATCCAGGGCAGAGAGCTCTGTTGTTGCCCGGGGGGAGAGGAGGGAGAGGCAATGCGTCTTTCAAGTCGGGGACCAACAAGGTACCAAAGATTGCAGAGACTGGAGAGGAAGGTCCAGAAATGTGAGTATTTCTGCTTCAGTTGCACGTTCATTTTTGTGTAATTTCCCCCATCATAAGCTACATCTCCAATGGCTTAGAATAGTAAATGATTTGTGGTTATGACAGGTTTTTTGATCAGGTTAAAAAGCTCTCATCTGAAACTGCATTTTGATATTGATAATGGTTGGTTTTTTTACGGTATAGAAGTTGAAGTTAAATGCTGATAATTCTATTTAGAAAGGTGAATTATGCTGTGCAGAACCTTATTTTGGACAGGTTTTAGTGATCTTCTTTTAGTCTGGTCATCACTGCATATATTATGTTGACTAATAACAGATAGTATATGTCAGCGGGGAAATTAGATTGTGAAGTAGAACCACAGGTGAATGCTATCATATCTCAATTTGAGTTGTATGTTTTCTGACTACATAAAAGAAAGTTACAATAGGGATAAGTTTGATTGAATAGGTTTTAGCCTATGGGTTCAAGTGCAGACTGTGTTGTTTGATAAGAGTAAACAATTGCCATTGTGATGTAGCATATGCAATATATGAAGTCCACTTGGAATATTTCTATGGTTCATATACCCTTTCTTACATGGCACTCATTGCTATGACAGGCTAGGTGTTCAAATTTTCATAGTCGGGGAATCTTGTCTCAAAATAATATTTTTCTGTTATTAGAAAAAGAGTCCCTAGGTTGTCAAGTAGAACGATAATCCGTAGACATTTGTAATGAAAATCAAGCCATTCAAACTTAGAGGCATGTATGCAGTATTTGCACAAGGGTTTACCTTTTAATTAAGAACCAATTTTTTTTTTAGTTAATTCCACGGTTAGTGGTAATTGTTAACTTCTAATTAAATCCTTCAAGATCCTTTTACTTAGATGGTTGCCTGAAATGATTGTGATATTTGATCAGGTGGTTGGAATTAGAGCTGAAGTTGGTGGCAGATGTTGGAATAGTTGGTGCTCCAAATGCTGGGAAAAGCACATATCTTAGCGTTATTAGTGCTGCTCAGCCAGCTATTGCAAATTATCCTTTTACTACCTTACTTCCAAATCTTGGTGTAGTTTCATTTGATTATGATACTACAATGGTAGTGGCAGATCTACCAGGTTTACTTGAAGGAGCACACCGAGGTTTTGGTTTAGGACATGAGTTTCTCCGGCACACTGAAAGGTGTTCTGCTCTGGTATGAGCCCTCTCATTTATGGTGCTGGCTTTAATCCTATTCACTGATTCTGATATAGCAATCTTCTATAGAATTATTAATGATATATTGAAAAATATGGTAGCTGTTTATTTTAGTTCTTCTTGATTTTCTCATACTATGTAGAGATGCTATTTTGGAATTCTTTGAAACTAGGGATTATAGAATTACTTGCATTTCTTTCTTCTTTCATCTTTGTTTCAGGCTGGTTGGGGCCAGTTCTGTCTCAGAATGGATGAAGATTTTGCTTGCAGTTTATTGTTCTTCTATTTTTATTGAGGTGTTGGTGGATGCCAATGCTGTTGATTTAATGACTGTTTATGAATATGGAATCTTAGGTACATGTTGTTGATGGATCGTCACAGCAACCGGATTTTGAATTTGATGCTGTTCGTCTAGAGCTGGAATTGTTTAGTCCCGAACTTGCTGAGAAGCCTTATTTAGTTGCCTATAACAAAATGGATCTTCCAGATGCATCTGAAAAGTGGATGTCATTTAAGGAAAAGCTGCAAGCTTATGGTATTGAACCCTTTTGCATGAGTGCTGTGAAAGGGGAGGGTACTCATGAAGTGATCCGTGCTGCCTATCAGCTTGTACGCAAAACAAGGGAAGAGAGGAAGGAAGAAGGTCAATAACTTATTTTCTTTACAATGCAATGCAGAATGTTTTTATGTCACTGGAATAACTATATATCCCATTCTAGTATTGCATGGTTATATTCTGTAGCCTTTTTAGTGTGCAGCTCTTTATTTGCATGCCAGTATTTTTGAGCCTTCTAATGATATTGATCCGTATTATCGATGTTGATCACTGACAAGATGTTCATAACATCAGGAAGGGCAAGAAATATATTCAGGGTGATAATAAGCAAAGAGTGATTACAGAATATCAAATGTATTTGTGTCATTGAGAGATATGGGAGAATCAAATATTATATGCAAGGCCATGCATGTATATATTTCTTTATGTCCATCTAGAATATCCATTTTGTGTTGCCTATTTGTTTACAATTTTCATCTAAATCAGGTCGGAGTGGTCCAGAAAACTTGAACCATGTGGCTGACATGGTGCAGAAGCAGCGAGCTGCCCCCATTGATGAATTTGAGATATCGCATGACAGCAGTATGAGGACATGGCATGTTGTTGGATCTGGATTACAAAGATTTATTCAGATGACAAACTGGAGGTATGCACTCCATCGCATGTTATCTGTATCTTTGGCTCTTATCATTGTATCTAATTATGTTTTGTCTTCTTTCATTTGTTGCCATTGCCTTAGGTGGGCTGTCCTGTATTGTTCTGTTAGATCTCATACTTTTAGTTCTGAATTATCAAGCAATGATCATTCACTATACAGTGTATACATTCTTCGTGTTCCTCACATTTGGACACGCATGAGCCAGCCAGCTTTTGAAAATGGACAATCCTGGAATTGGGCCTTTGGACCATCTTGGCCTGTTCATTTGGCTTGGTTGAAATCAATAACAATAGTAGGTGTGATGCAAACAGAAAATTGATTTTGTGGACATTCAAGGTTAAAAGACTACCGGAATTCAAATTTTAAATGTGAACATTCTACCCTGCCCTGTTACTATCTTTTTTTTTTATGTTTTTGCTTTATTTTCATATAATATGCATATATAATTTTTATTGTTTATTGTTTCTCATGCGAACGAGGCATTCACATTCCAGCTATATTCAGAAAGCTCCCTTGGTACTAGTAGATTAGCACAGGATTGAATTACAGCATTGTATTCTTCTTCTAAGATTTATGCCCTGCGGCAGACACTGTATGACTCATTTTGATCTTCTTGGAGAATAATGATATTAATCTACCTATTTTCTGCTCCAACTTATTTTTTATTTTTTGGATAACCTTTTCCTCTCTTTCTTGAGTCATTTTATATCTCTAGAAAGTTTTAGATGAACTGCTGAGTTGATTATCTGATATTCAGTTTGCACAGAATGTTTTTCATCTATGCTGCTTTATAAAGTTCTTATGCTGCAATTGCATCTCATTATTATAGAAAATCAAGTCTCATAGTCGCTGCTTCAATAATATCCTTGTTCCTGACATCTGAGAGTCCCAACACATCAAATATGAATTGGTAGAAACATCTTTTTGTGACAGATACAAAGATTCCGAGAGAAGATTCCAGCATGTTATGGAGGCATGTGGCTTGTACAAATCTCTCATTAGACATGGGGTAAAGGAGGGTGACACTGTCATTGTTTCTGAGGTGTGTTTATATTGATTTGGCTCTCTTATATTTACTGCACTGTGTTTAATTTGTATTACCTGACCCAACCATGAAAGGAAGAACAAAATCTTTGAGGTTGCAGATAAACATCCTGAATAAGTTGCAAATTTGTGATTATAAATGTTTGTTTGATCTAGTATGACATCAGTCTGACCATTATGGTTTTAGTTGGAGCAGTCCTTGCTATGTACACTCTTTAAATTTTGTCATGAGCAGTGACATTGAAAATCTGTTACCATTTTCATTTCCTAAATAGAGATCAATTGAAAAATATTCATATTCTTTTTAATAATAGTCATGTTGAACTTTTCTTTTTCTTTTTTTCCCCCCATCTGTCAGTGACTTTTTATAGTTTCAGTAACCAAATTGGATGTGCTTATTTGGTGTCTCTCAGATGGAAATGGTATGGCATGATTCTCCAGACAACTCCTATTCAAATTTGAGGACAAGGTCTAGTGATTCAAGTAAATGGGCTCAATGGACATGATCTCTCAATTATGCCCATATCATTTAATAGATGTTTTGCTTTTGTAGTGATGCCAAGTCATCTTGAACTTGATTTTCACAGAGAAGATATGACCTGTGGGGTGTATACTTGTCGGCCTTCATGAAGCTACCCAAATTTGAGGCTTCTGACATTGGTGGCCGATGTCAATCTCAGGACTCGAGAGCCTCAATAGTGATTAGGCCTATAAAGCAAAAATTTTCTTGTTCATTTGATTGTGCTCTTGCAAATATCTTGAAAGCGCTCATTATTATTCCAATTTTTGGGGAAAATATCATGTGTTGCCCTATATTGGTGAATAAATGGTGTTAGTTGAATTATTGTGGATGGAAATTCATATGGGCATATTTTTATTCTAATTTACAAGCTGAAATAAGAAATAATACATAATGAATATTGCCTTATACATGATCATAGCTCTGTTTTCCTATTATTATACACATATGCATGCATGATTTAATAATATCAATTTGCTATTGAATCCACCTTGAGGTGTGTGACGTAGTATGCTCTTCACTATGAATTTATCAGAGTTGGATATTACATTACTACTCATATGTTAAAGGGCTAAATAAGTTTGGTGTAGAATGAATAAATTGCATTATGCTTTGGAGGGGTAAATTCGAAGAAAAAAAGTCGGAATATTTAAAATCCTCAAAGAGTTTTTGTTACATACAATATTCTTTTTAAGTTTTAATAACTGGTTTCACAGTAATTTTTCAAGTTGAGTAACTGATTTTACCGCTATCGAAAATAAACTTTTCAACTAAATTTAACATAAATTTTCATTTTTTTGGGGGGTATTTCGGCTCTCTTCACCATAAAATGGTGGTGGCAGAATATTTGAAGAATATTGGATGGAGGGCAATAAGTGGGGCACTAAGAGGGGTGTCTGTAAGAAATTCTTGCAAATGCTTATAACTTTTCAATGATTGAAAAGCAGTCAAAGGCTATTTGTAAACTTACTTTCAATTTTAACTTCCTAAAAAAAAAGTATAAACAGTGAAAAATAAGTAGCAAAGGGTAGGGGTAATTTATCTTCCACTGGCATTTTTATAAATAAATTAAAGTTATTTTAAGCTTAAATTTGACATTTTTGTTCCTGTATATTTTTTAATATTCTAAAATATATTTCTGTCTTGACCTGGGGTTGGTTCGCCTCTAGTGATCATGGCGAAAAGAAGAGTGCCTGATCAGCTGGAAGAGGAGAGGTAGAGGCCGATCTCCCTCCACTGATCACGATGGGAAGAGGAGAGGCCGGTCTGCCTCCGCCACCACGAAGGAAGAGGAGTGCCTGGTCAACAGGAAGAGGGGACCTAGCAGAGGCCGATCTCCTTCTACTAACCACAATGAGAAGAGGAGAGGTCAGTCTGCCTCTAGCAACCACAACAAGCTAGAAATGGTTTGACTGGTCTCTTCTGCAACTCTGACCTTCTTTCCTCTAATCCTCTTTCAATTTCCCCTTGATCATCGATAAATCCACCCAACATCAGCTGTTAGGACATGCTTTGCTTGCCAAGGCAATCAGTGACCTTCAATGAGCTTGCGTGCTTGGCAGCTACAAATCTCCACATCCTTTTGCACTAGAGTGGCAAGGGAAAGTGATGGCTCGGCAAGGGAAAGTGAGAGAGAGGGAAAAGGAAAAATGAGGGTAAAAAAATTAAAATAAAAAATTCTATACTGACAATCACAATGCACACAGCCAATTTTGTCTGAGATTCTAGAGGACGGGCCTGAAAAATATGAATATAATGCATCCCTTATAGTCCAAAATTCGTGTGGGAAATCATAGTGGGATGATCATCCAACCATGAGAAAGTAGTTGTTCAAGAAGTGGATTGTTTGAAATCAATGCATTTAGTTTTGTAATTTAAATTTTTTATTTATTAAAATAATATAAGACACTATTTTTATCTCTTAATCCATGTATTAGAAGAGAATAATATGTATAATAATCTCTAAGATGATTAGTAAAAGAGAGATAATAGGTTAATGACAATTATAATATTCATAATAATCTACAAAATAATTATCTACAAAATATTCAACAAATAATTTTAAATATTTAAGTCCAATCCATATCAATTAACTTCTATCAAAACGTTAGCTCTTCCTACACAACGCTGTCTCCTTTTTGCTATGGGCATGCAGGGCTCAAGCCTGTTGCATGTTCAATATTACCACCACCACCACCACCATTTCACTCTCCAACAAGAAGAAGCGGCCAGTGCCCCTGTTCAACACTGCAGTCTGTTCGCTTTCCTTTCTTTTTTCTATTCCTTGTCACGTCATTATGTCACTTCTTCTTAATCAGTATTGGGTTAGTCTGCAATACTAATCCCCACTACCCTTGCCACGGGAGAGAAACAAAGGGTCACCTCCATCAGCATGTGGGCATTGAATAGGTTTATGACTTGTATGGTTTCAATATTCTTTCCTCTTTTACTTTTTGTACATAGCTTTTATTTTTTTCGTAGTTTTATAGAGTTAAAATATTGAACTTTTTTTTTTTGGCATATTGGACGTTTAAACTTGTTAGAGGTCGAAGTTAGGAGACTTCTTAAGTCGAAAGATTTAGCTCTTTGATAAAAACAAGACTTCTGAATGTTTGTTTTGTCAGCCTTCTATTGGAAGAAATGAAGACTCTTCGGGCCCTATAGGGTTCTTTTGGAAGCGTCTCCTAGAAAATGGGATACCAATTGAGTCCAAACAAAACACTGGCGGCCGTGACTAGCACATAAAATCCGGACTTCGAGCAAGATTGGCAAAGTCTGAACTCCTGAACTAACTAGTCGTTGGAGTACAATGCTCTCTTGTAAAACGGAGTACAATGAAACCATGCACCCCTTCAACGGAGTGAGCTGATATCAGTGCACCATATAACTGAAAACTCCTTCTTCGGGGCAGCTACGTGGCCTAACAGGAAATAGTAAGCAAAAGGACCAGCGCCCACCCACACCAGCCATTGGGTTCACGCAAATTTTCGAAGCAAATTTTCATTTCATTTATCTCATAGAACCAAAACATCTCTCCCTCTCTCCCTCTCTCTCTCTCTGAGTGTAATTACAATGGCAAAAGGAGTCGACATAAAAACCAAACTCAAGAAGTTAAAGAACAGTTTTGGACCAATCAGAAGAGAGAGTACCCCAAGTCAACCACATCACCACCCAATGGAGGGATTGAAGAAGAAGAGCACTGAATATCGCTTCCGCTGTTTGGACACAGGGCCTCCATCCACCCGTCTTCCCCAATCCATGGATTGTTAATCACAGCAGACAGGTCACCTTCCCATGGCTGCTGATCAAATCCGTTGTAGCCATACCCATCACAGAAAGAAATCAGGTCTATGTTAGAAGCATCTGAAGCTTCAAAAGGAAGTGCATCTTCACCACATTGTCTCTGGATACCGGGAAAACTTGTGCTGGGAAAGTTTGTGTTGGGGTGATCAGAAGCACTTGAAAAGATGCTGCTTTTGGAGTTTTTGTTGGTGGAGCTGGGGCTAGGGGGCTTGAGGCAGCTGTCTGGGACAATGCACCCCAAGTAGCCAGAATTAGTGTCAGCACTAGGGAAGAAAAAGTTGGTGTCATTTGGCGAGGACCCATACGAGGATTGAGATCCAGAGTCATTGTCAGAGTGAATTGGGTTAATCTGGTCCTGACACATGTCATGCTGGCGTGGCACTCCCTGATTGGTGGTGGGGAGCTGCGGTGGTGATGGCTGTGTGAGATGGAGGGGGTAGTTTTGGAATTGAAAGGCATTTGTAGTAGTGTAAAGAAAATTGGTTCTTGCTTGGGCGCCCTTCATGGAAAGGGCAGCCCTGTCATAGGCCAAGGCAGCCTCATGGGCAGTGTCAAAGGTGCCCAGCCAGTGCCTCTCCTTGGTGGTGGGATCCCTTATCTCCGCCGCATACCTGCCCCATGGCCTCCGCCGGACCCCCAAAAACCGCCCTGGCTCTGCCACCTTCCGCCGTCCCCTCCTCTCACTTGATGATGGGGATGTGTTGTTCCTTTGGAGCATGGAAAAGCCAGTAACATTGTTGTGAACCAAACTGCTCTCAAGGCCCTGGATAGTTTTGTGATGATCACTTGGTTTAGAAGTGGACATAGTGAAGAAAATGTGGTTGAATTGAGTCAAATGAAGGCTAAGATGAGGATGATTGGAGTGAAGATTTGAGGTTTTAGAGTCTGGAAAATGTAGTTAGTAGTGAAGAAGGCAAGGTTTAACCGATTCAATACATAGTGGCATTGGAGTGAAAGGTGAAAGAAAATGAAGTAAATTGATTTGGGATGGAAGTGGGAAGGAGGTGAAGCAAGCCTTTTAAAGAGGAGAGAGGTAGGTCTGTGACCGACTCTGCTCACTTTCCACCTACTTTTGAAATCACTTTTTGAGCCTGTTTTTAAAAACACCCATTAGAGGGGTGGGGGGAGCTTGAATCCTTTGTGGTCCGTGATGTATCAAATAATTATGGGCTACAACTTATAGGCAAAAGATTCCCAAAAGTAGTCAAAAAAAAAATCTTAAATTGGGGGTTCCTGACTACCCTTTTTCACTTCTTACTTTCTTCCATGTTTCAGTCTCTCTGCTTGTTCTTTCCTTCCCCAAGGCCGATGAACTACATAGTTTCAAAAGCATGGCCAGTTGGAATGTACAGATGATAGATAACTTTGAATGTGACAGGAAATGATAAACCCTTTTTTTAACTTGAATTTTGAATTGTTTTGCCGATATAAAAGAAAATAAGTATTCTTTTATCATTTATCTTTTTTTATTAGTATGTTCTATTAGAATATTTAAAGAAAAATTTTAAAAACTAAAACAGTGCCTCAAAAATAATAAAAACAATTTTGTTCTTAAAATTCTTGACTTTTCAATATCAAACTAAATAATAAAAAAGCTTAAATAAAATAATTTAACTTTTTAAATGTAACCCATTATAACACATAAAAGTTCCATTTCTTGAAGTCTTGTCAACTTCGCAGAAGAGAAAGTGAAAGAATGCTAGATCTGGAAGAAGGTCCAAAAAAGAAAAAGCATTTGGAAAAAAACAAAAGAAAAAATGAAGAATGTTTATGATTGAATGGTGGTTATCCACAAGTGCTTTGAGTGGTAGGATATGTGAATCCTTGTGACAGAGAAAAACCCCCCAAAAGGGAAAATCCCGGAGAGAAAAGAAGTGTTTTTGTTTGCACAGTCCTAGAAAATCTCAAAGATTTGAATCTTAATGTACTACTACTGGGTGCTTTTTGTATTATCTTTGAACAGCACATGTTGTACCCGCATTCTATGCAAAACCCACATCAGCTAAATTTCTTCTAAGCTCTTTGTCTGCTTCAAGATTTTCAAAGGGAGCAGTTAAGATCAAACTCAGAATTAGGGCTATGAAATTTGAGATATGCTCTCTTGTGGGTTTGCCCGTTTTGTCCTCTATAGGGGAAAAAACAAACATTTGGGTCCAAAGGAAAGGGACTCCCTCACCCCCTCTACTACAGCTTACAAGTCAAAGCTAAGCCATTGTTTTGTTTGTCTTTTCTCGTAGGGCTCACCCCGTAAGATTAAAGTTAGTTTTACTTCCTGGTGGCCTAATCCACCCCCCCCCCCGCAAAAAAAAAAAAAAAAAATCTAATTCTTATCCCATGCCTCAACAAATAAACCCATACAAAAAAAAAGTCTATTAAATGTGAACCCAAAACTTAACCAGAGTTGTATACTATTTATGAGATTTATTTAGAAATTATACATTCAACTTTTAATCCTTCTTCCTTTTCTAACTTAAACTTCCAATATACCCAAAGAAAATATCATATTAAATGTTGTTTCTTATACTATTTTTACATACCTGCATTAGAATAAATTTATATTAGAGTGGTATAGAATACAGAGACATTGAACTAAAGTAAAAAAATTAAATGCTATTTAGTTGAATTTGATTAGCTAAAATTACACAATGTTACAGATAACAATAATTACTCTTTGTGTGGGGTGCATTTTGTAAATATCACTTGACATACTCAATTGCTGTTTTCTAAATGACATAAATATTATTATTGCATAGGTTATTTCAACAATTGGGGTACCCAACTTTTTTGACTAAATTAAAATAGATATTTTTTTTTGTTTTATTTAGCAGGAACTGAATGGTAATCCCAAAATGAACATTTCATTAATGCGCTTTAGAACATGATTTATTGGCTAAATGTTGGAGATGAGGTATGACTTGTGGGGCTTCAGATACTTTAGTGAGCTCTTCAAAATGCTTCTTATTCAAATAAGTTTTCCCCAAAGCAAAACAAAAAGCAACTTGTTTAAGGTTGAGAAGAGGGTTTCTGTCTCTCCAAAAGTAACTACTAAAATCTGCAGTCAAAACTCAAAAGCACAAGCAAAAGCTCAAAGGGACACTTGTAAAGCAAGGTGGATTAAACTGCCCGAGCAAAAGCCACAAATGGGTCACCCATCCATCTAGTTTTGGGAGTTCCAATGTGACAATTTTACGACTTCTTTTTCCTTTTATTTATTAGTACCCTCACATGCCCAAATGGCATTGGGAACAGCATACACTAATCATGACCCAAAATGGGTCAACCTCTTTCTCTTGTTTTAAGCATTTCCAAAATCCACAGAAAGCACTGTTATGGTCTACCCTCTAATTCAATAATGTACCTAACAAAATTATATAGAAGAAGAAAAGGGTAAGACAGAGGTTTTTTATTCGGGTTTTTAAATTTTATATGTTGTTTTGTAATTATATAAAAAGTTATAGAAGTGGTGTTTGGGTGCAGAGAATTAATTTTTTATCATAAAATTCTTCTAAAATAAACTTATCAATTTTTTTAAACATTTTATAGTAAAAACCCAACTTCTTACTAAGCTAATTAAATTAGAATAGGTTTTTAACTTCTCATTTTATCACAAAACTTAGTCTATTTAATACTATTTTTAAAAACAGTATTTTCACATCTTAAAAAGAAATAAGTTCATACATATATATATATTGAAATATAAGACTCTTCTCATAATAAACAATGAGAGCACTACCCTTAAGATAATACTAAATAAATCTCAAATCCCAGCATCCCATACTAAATTGAGAGAGAGAGAAAGAGAGAGAGTAGAAGGGCACTTTGGCATAATTTGAAACTATTTTGGTGATTATGGCTTGAATAATGTCTTCTTTTTCAGAGTGATGTGGACCAGAATCTATGACCTTTGACTCCCCCACTAAAGATTTCAAGGGACAAATAGATAATAGATATGATTAGGTGTATTAATTATCCCATTTTCTAAAACTTGGCGGCATAATCACTCTTGTAATTCATCTCTCATAATTTACTGTTTAAGACTCCACTTGCAAAACATTTTCATCATCACCTTGAGTAAAATATTTATAGAGAAACCCAAATGACCTAAAATTTGGGGGGAAGAAAAAGACATATACTGACAATATATATCTATAGTTTGGATTTTCTCCATTAAAATTTTTCTTTTTTGAAAGTCAAATTATTTTAATAATTTTCATAAATATCCACTTCAGATTATATCTATTTTAATATAGACAATTCAAAACCCTAGAGGAAAGGGTTTCAGAGGGAGCCTTCCCTTGCATGGAAGGTTGTTTGCTAGGCTTCATGAACTAGTGATTTGAAAAGAGGAATTTGGGAAAAACCAGTCAAGCCTCGGATATAAAAAGGTGTGAGCCACTAGGTATGTCCAACATCAACATGCACTCCAACATGGTCATAAAAGTATTCTTATTTTTTCTAACAATGAATGGGTTTTGTTCTTGTACAAAAACGAAAACTTGGCTCCTCTCTCTCTCTCTCTCTCTCTCTCTCTCTCTCTCTCTCTCTCTCTCTCAAAGCTAGCTAAAATATATACTGACAAGAGGGTTCTGGGTTCTGGGTCAGATTGGAATTTTGCACATTCTCCAAAACATACACACACTTTTGTCTAGTTTTTAAGGTCGCCCGGAATTTAGGGATAAAGATTGTCTTCCTCAGGACTTAAGAAACTTGGACTTTGACGCGAGAGAGAGAGAGAGAGAGAGTTAAGTAATAAAGCACTTATCAGATGGGAGAAAGGGAGCTATGGAGGGAGAATAAGAGAAATCTTTTTATTTATTTTAACTACTCTGCATCATTGATTTTAAGATGGGCAATTTTAAATTTTTATTATATTATCAATTTAAAATTTTAATATAATTTAATTATATATTATAATTCATTATACATATATTTTATTCGCACTTTTAAATGGAAGGTGGACCCACCAGGTATAAGACAATTTTGTTTGGCAGTCTCAAATCTTAGGAGGAGTTCTTGACAAGCCAAGATCAATTCTTCCAACGTGACCATTGAATCACTGACTAACTAGAAACTGCAATTGCAAGTTACTAGGTGCTGTTTGGCCGCCCAATCTCTTATCCCACCTTTCATTTTTTCTTTTTATTTTTTATTTCTTTTTGGGAATGAGAGAGTGCATTTAGTAGTTTTTCTTTTTTTTTTTTGAAGCTACTAAAAGCACTTTTATGAACATTTAGTGGGTGATTTAGAAATCTTTCTGTCGAAAGTTAACTTTGGATCAAATGCTCTTGATAGCTTTTAAAGTGCTTTGTTATAATTACTTTATGTTGATGTAATTAAGATCTATGGTTATTCTAAGTTACAAATATTACAAAATTACCAAATTGTAATCTACTTTTACTGCTGACTACCAATTATATCCTTTGATTTGGAGATAATTACAAAAATTAATTAAATATTCAAAGGCCTTATTTTTTATTTTTTTTACCATGATAACTGTTAATTACTTGAGTCATATTGTGTGATTTTTATAAAATGTGAATTGCTTAAATAAAGATTTACCACGGTAATTTCTTAAAATAAAAACACCCTTGAATAAACAGTAATACGATGTAAACTCTCCAAACATGAAGAATTCACATTTATTTAAGGGCTTTTTTGGAAAAAAAATTATTGTTCTTTACTTTACTTTCAATTATGGGATGAGAATTAAGTGAGATGAAAACATTTTTATTCAAGTCTACCTCTATATTTTCTGTGTTTCTGAGTAATGAAAACAAACAAAAACATATACACACAGATATATATATATATAGAGAGAGAGAGAGAGAGAGAGAGATAGAGAAGCACACACAACATTGTCATATAAAATGACATGATTTTATATCATTTTAAAAATATAGAATCATCATATATTATTAACTCTCCATAAAAATTAATTTAATATCAAATTTCTTATTATCCATAATTTTTGATAATTAATTTAAAGTTTAAGATTTTAAAATTAAATATGTTTAACCACCCTCAATACCCAATCATTTAAACATAAAAATTTACTAAATTCCTGAAAATTTTAAATGAAATAAATTTTAATAATTATTAAGTATTAAATATAACTAAAAATAAGTATTTTGTTTTATGTGTTAATTTGGAATTACCTATCTATTTATTTTATTTTTATATTTTGGGCTACAATAGTGACAGAGAGTAGGGAATATATTGAACAGAGCACACAATCTAGTCCTAACAGGTACCAAAAAAAAAAACCCTTAGATGAAAAAATAAATAAATAAAATTCTTAAGAAACACGTACCGGATTATCCGACCGACCTCCCGGTCCACCAATAGGAGGAGGAAACGTAGAACTTCCTAGACTGTTGCCCACGCTATAAATCTGCAACTGATGGGAACCACTTCGTTGACGTGTCAGAATATTAGTGGTTATGTTCTCCACGTCACACCGACGACGTGAGAGCCGCCCGTGCCCGATGACGTGGCAGCGGCCGACACGCGACGAAAGGTTGGCTGAACATACATGCGCCTCGTACGGGCTACGTGGCAGAAAAACGTACGTGAATCGCGGAGCACTATGTAAAAATAGTAAGGTTAAATTACAATGACATTCCCCTAACTATTTGGAGTTTCTTAGTTTGGTTTTCAAAATTTTTAATTATTTTAATAAACTCCCCAAACTTGTATTTATGATATTATGATATTTTTTCAGTTTCAGTTTTTTTTTGTGGTATAAAAATTTTTTAGTTTTTTGTATTTAATTTGTATAAAAAAATATTTTTTCATAACAAAAAATATGTCACAAAAAAATAAATAAATAATAACTTTTTCATAAAAATAGCGATAAAAAAAATCCACAATACAAAGGAGAAACTTCAAAATCAATATCGACATCAAATAAATCATTGACGAGGTTTTTTCTTCTTTTAGCATTAATTTTGACATTGGCTTTGGTGGGTGCTTAAATTTTAAAAGATGACGTACTTTATTGCTAAAATTAGAAGTTGGGAGGTCAAATTAAGAATTGTGAAATAGTAAAATAGTAATGTGGCGGTACGAGGTTGTGGGCTGGTACCGGGTACAGTAAAAGCGAATCCACTGGAAAAAAATGAACAGTGTCAGAAGTCAAATGTTGTAGTACTGACGGCTGTGATTTGATGGATTGACGGCTGCGATTCATCCTCCGTAGGTTTTTCATATGCTCGCCCACAAAGAACGAGATTTGTTCCCCAGGAAACACGAATCCGTTTGGTTGAAACTTGGAAAATCATGGGAAAAGACAACCTGCCACGTCTGGTGCAAATTTTAAATTTGAAAAACAAAAAAATGGAAAATCAGACATTGTGGCATTTTTTGAACAAAAAAAATTTAAAGAAAATTTCATGCCATGATTTCATAAATATAAAGTTAGTTTTTTTATTTTTTAAAAATTTTATCTAGCATAAATTATTATTTTTTTTTTATATTTATTGCTACAAATTGAGTTTAAATTCAAAAATAAAATAGAAATAGACTAAAATCAGCAAACAGAACCTTCAATATCTTAGTTTGGGAGAGGGAAAGTCCACTCTTTTAAGTCTAGTTGGTGATAGAGGCAGGTGTTAGTAAGAAAATTTATATAAGTATTGTAACTTCTCTTAATATTTAATCTTGGTTATTGTTGAAGATTGATATTGATAAAAAAAAGTTTGTATAAGTGTTATCATTTCTCTTAATATAGTTGACTTATGTTTGCCATTACTTGTCAAACAAGTATTTAATTATTGAGATATGTTTGCCATTACTTGTCAAACAAGTATTTAATTATTGAGATGATTATGTTTATCTTCATACTACAAAATAGTTTTTTTATTAATATCTCCACAATCTTTTAGGAGGTCTTTAAACTTACTTTTTAGATACTCAAATTCTAAGCCAACTTAAGATCTAGTCAAACTCTCCATGCTTTTGTCCCTTGAGGCCGGAGTTACCCCAAAATTTTTAAAAACTCTTTAATTCAATTGCCTTTATAGCGTTTCCATAATCCTTTGTAATCAGTCATTATTTTTTTAATACCAAAAAGGTTTTATATTTTGAACTTTAATCATGTGAGTAAATTAATTTTAAATTTTATAACTATTTGTGGTCAATCTTCCTCAAAGATTGAGATAAGTCCACATTGGTCAATAGTGCGTTGTCCTTAAATTTATTAATTTCAGGTAAGAGGCTCCAAATGTTCACAATGTATTCATGCAAGAATTGTGATTTTTTTGTGAAAAAACAAGATAAAAAGATTTTACTTTTTAAAATTTTTTATATAACTAAATACTTATTTAATAAATAATTAATTATATATTTAAATAAAATATTTTATTATAATTTTAAAAAAAAAATACTTAAATTAATGATGAACTGTTTTAAGTAATAATAAACAGTGGTAGTTGCAAGTATCTAAAAATTATAGGCCCATTTGGATAAATTTTTTTCAGAATTGATGTTTCATTCTACAATCAACAAAAATTTTTCAACTCAATAATTTTTGAGTGTTTGGAAATGCAGGGAGCCATGGAAAATTGTGTAAGAGAGAAGGGGAAAAAAAAAGGTAAAGGCACACCACCCACAACGCAAGCAAGTTTACATAACAGATTCAGGCCACATGTACAAATGCTAAACAAATTGGTCTTTCATTTCTTGATTGGCACAAAAAGAAAAGCAAAAAATGCCGCTTCCAAACTCATGATACTTTTTTATTAGGAATGTTAACAGGCGGTATTTGGACTAAATTAGATTTATTAAATTTTACATAAGTTATTTATATATCTGAATATAATTTCAAATTTTATAAAATTTATCTTTATTAATTCCTATTTAAATCCGTAAAATAATTTAAAATTTGACCCAAAAAAATTTAATCTAATAAAAAAATAATACTTTATTATATTTAAATCTTTTAATTCCATTTTATCAATCACACTGATATCTAAATTTTCTAAATTGTCTAATTTCATCACTACAAGTTCAAATGTATTAACACCATATATATAATTATTAATTTAATTAAAAATATTATTAAAATTAGAATTTAAATTTTTAACAAATCAGATTATTTAATTTTATATTTGATTCATTTGTTTCGAATTACTAATATTTATAATAAGATAGAATTTATCAAATATTTTAATCAAATTTGAATTAAATTTAAATCGAATTCAAACTAAAACTTCACTAATGACAGCTCTAATCTTGATCTTATAGTGATTTTCAATGTCAGGTTCTTAAATATTCAAAACCTAGAATTCTTCTAAATCTTTGTCTTGCTTTTGTTTTTGTGCGTGTGAGAGTGAGATGGTGGGTGAATTAAACTTATGCCAAAGAGGATTTTTCTGACTTTTTGAAAAATAAAAAATAGTTTTTGTCTAATATGGGTTAAATATTACCACAATTGAATTTGAATCTTCAAATTTCACATAATATTTGAGTTTCCGTCAGCTAGAAAGTTCTAAGATTATCAAATTAATTATGCGAGATTATAATTTCATCAGAGTAGTTTATTTATAAATTTTGATCTCAACCCAACAAATAATCCTAACTTCTAACGATCTTGACTTCTCTATGATATAAAGGGAATCTAAACCCATAGCAAAAAGATTTTTTTAACATTTTTCAAATTCTCTTAGTTAGAAAATCCGGTTTGAGAACGTATTTAATCACACAAAACATATCTAACATCTCATAACACTAATTCTAAGTGATATATGATTGTGACCACAGTCATCTCATTCTTCCTTGTCCAACTTGATCACTCCGGTGATCAGAAAATTCCATTTTCTTGGCATTGGAGTTAGGAAACTTTCCAGATTTACAAGGTGAACTAGTTTGAAGTAAAGAAAAGGTTTGATTCTGGAAGGGGTTATTGTTTCAAACTATTCTTTGTCCCAAAAATTAAACCAATTACATTGATTGACCTCTTCTTCATCAGAAGTGCACCCTGATTTTTCTTATTGATCATTACCTATCAGAACCAAAAATACATGTGTACGTACCTAAAACCAAGTGCCTCCTCAGAAAGTCATGAGAACTACTCCCACAGCTGATGTATATGTTACTGAAAACAAGCCTAATAGAAGAGACCCTGCCCAGAACAAAAAATATGCTTTGGTTGATGAATTGTGGTGAAAGGTGGCTAAGATTTGCAACAATCTTCTGCTAAGCTTCAAGAAGAGAAGGAAGAAGCCTGACCAGACTGCTGAAGATGAGAGGTGGGCCCACTTTTCGAGGAAACCAAACCACTAGAAGTGCTCGTAGAAGAAGACATTTTTGTTGAAAAGGCATCCTTGTTGGACGACCCGAAATAAGTTCAGGCCTCAAATCTGATGATGAGGATGACAGGGCCAGAGTACCAGTTGAAGATCCCACAGGAAAAGGAGCAATTGGCATGTCAGCAAGAGAAGATGCAGAGGGGCTATAACTCAGTGTTGGCATTGGATGATCAAATTTGCATGAGGGCCCAAATTTGCATACTCCATTCTGAGTATAGTGCGTGCAAAGTGGTGCACCCTGAAAAAAAATTAACATATTATTTATAGAAAGTGATTAACATACGAGATGCAGATCATATACAAAGGCATTAAAAATATAAATAGGTACAAGAATCCAAGCCCATGAAAATTAAAGAAGCGACAGGCGCACCTGAGGACATTTAAACAAATGCCAATTCAATGATGTGGACAATAATGTAAGAATATTCCTAAACAGCAAGCAGATATACATGGCCTCACAACCCCCCCCCCCCCCCAAAAAAAAAAAAGAAAAAAAAATACACACACACACACACACACACACACACATGGCAGGGAACATGCATTTGAACAAGGTCTACAGTAACAAATGCAATATGGCATAACAATTCTACCTCCTAATGTACTAAAACTCCTTAACATTGCTTGCATCAGTCTGTATTTGTTGGGATCAAATATTGTTTAGCAAGTTGACCACAACAGATTATTGTTTTTAATATTTTCGGCAATAATATGCATGGATGAAGCTGATTAGACAACATAATCAATTAATGTAATATCAGGTAGTGAAAAACTAGAGGATATCAGGATGAGGGGAAAAAAATGATAGGATTGTCAAAGTCGAGGTTCAACAACTAATCTGGGTTTCAAGGTGAGAGGTAGAAGTCGCAGAAATCAAAGGTAACAAGATTAATGAGAGCAAGCACTCAAGAAAACTGAAAAGAATCAGAAGTGAAGAAGCCCAAGACAACTGAATTCCTACTAATTGCAATTATATGTTTTCTTGAACTTCAATCTGCAATGTTCAAAAAGCTTCGTGATTGCAGTTTCTATCATTGTGCTTTTTTTTTTTTTTTAACTAAAATCAAATATGCATTATTATACTTAGACTTGGGTATGTCACCCAATTGGAGTATCTGATTTCCAATTTCAAATATTTACCTTATTTTCCAGGTATGATAGATATACAGAGTAATACATAGTTTTTTATTCAAGAGATGGACACATTGAGCATAGTTTTCAGAATAAACTATGTATTGTAAGACGCAAAATGTTGAACATTAAATATTCAAAACTTATAAATGCAATGGCTTATATTTGAATACTTTTTTAACTTTGCTCCACCCAGGCCATGTCTCCTCATAGCAATGAAAATAATCAGGAAACCAGCTTCTCTGCATTTATATATCCCTTGTCCAATCTTTTGCTTGCTGATTTCCTCTTCCTAATGCACTCCAATAAATCAAATGGATAAAAGCAACAAACCAATTTAAAGCACTCCTTTTAAGGCTTTTTTACAAAAAAAAGTTGTACATTTTTATATGTCAAAGTCCAGATGTTTACCAATGAATTTTGCCTCTTGGGTATTCATAGAAAATGTTGTAGTTCTACATGTCAGCTCCATTATGTTATGGTTCTTTAAACATCTTGCACACTAGTTGCGATTCAGTTGTTGAGGTTTGCTGTTCTAGTGAAGATAAATGACCTTGACTCAATAAATTTCTCCCAATTTACATGGTAGCTAGATATTATTATTCGAAGTTAGAGGTTGGAGCTACACTGATAAATTAATTTAGGATTTGATGAAGGTTTAAATTCAACAGCCTGCCCATGCTGCAGTAGGGAGCTAGTATTTGTTAAAGGTGACCCTACTTGTGTCAAATTAATTAGTCAAGTGTCTTCTAAAAGGGACAAGGGGAGACTGAACCATAAATATAATACTCCTATTTTATGCAGCTGTGGTCATATAGTGACTATTTGGACCTTTAACTACCAAACATGCAACTTCCAAGTAAAATTATATGTACTTTGTCAAGGAAAACTTCAATAATAACTTTCAAATGTCAGATTTGGGTAGTTTGAGATTCTTGAGTGTATGAAGTGATTAACTACTTTCTCATGTTAGATTTGGGTAGTTCGAGATTCTTGAGTGCATGAAGTTATTAACTAGAGTGAGCTTATCTATGTTGATAACAAAAGCCTTTAGCTGTACTTAGTTGATCCCTCTTTACCTCCTGCATTAGGACTGAAGATAGATTATTGGCTTTACAGCTAAAATGGATTTAATACATACATAATTATGTATTTATGTGCACATATACTCTTTTTGGTACATTGGGACCAGAGGGATTGGGACCGAGGTTTTAATCCAAAAACTTCCTGATGGGGACGTTAACACACTAGAGGGACCCCAAGTTTATACATTTTCTCATGTTTTAGAAGTCAAATCTTGCATTAAATGCTGTAAACTTTCTTGCTTGGGATATAATTTAGGCACCTATCATGGTTCTTTTAACATCTCATTATGCTTGGGCTCTGGTTAGCAGTTTGATATTCTTATTGCTTTAACTCTTTATTCAGTCAAAACAGACTTCTAGAATTGAGTCTAAGTATAAACCCCCCAGTTGTCTGCTTATATGGTTATAAACAGGTTGGAGTTTGGCAAGATAACTATAAACCTAATAAAATCCAAACCTAGTCAACTATGTCTATACAAAGTCTCAAGAAAAAAACACACTGCATAAGAGTAATTTTACACCTAAATTTCAAGAATTCTATACGCTAAAGGTTAAAACACAAGCATCCATGCTCACAGAGAAGAATATTTCGTTTATACATAGTAATGATGATACGAATGGAAGATGATGCATGCACAGAAGAGTCGGGGGAGGGGTTTGGTGGCTTAAATAGAGAGCAGGCAGAACACCATCATATAGAATTTTGAAATGTGTATCACTTTGTGCTCTGAAGTCTTAAGTTTAGAATTGGTTTCACATTGTCCCCCGTCTTTTAGTTTAAGACCTACATATGATTTGTATGCAATATCCAAGTTATGACTCTAGTCTAAGTAATGGACAAAAAATCTTCATTTCTCTTTACTCAAAATGTGGGATTAAGATTCTTATAATTGGAAAATCAATAATTGAAGTTAGATTTACCCCAAAACAGAAGGTAAAAAAGATAATGTATCCCCAATCATCAAGGTCAAGTTCTGTCTACCATGATGAGTAAAATAAATGCACCATTCCAAATGTCATAATTTATATGAACTAGGACTTTAAATTTAACCGACTTTTGATTTTGTGACAATCACCGTTGTAAATGTTAAAAAGTAAAGTACTCACATGCAACTATGAAATAAGCATTTTTGCTGAGCAACAGAATAAAAGAATAAGCAAAGGAAAAGGAAACAGTTAGCTAAAGTAAATCAAGTATTTTGAATGTTCAAATAACTTTTTTCAAGATGCCCTGCAGGTTACTAATCTTATAATTAGGTTTCCGACAAGATTTAACTGGAGGTCCAAAAGTTCCATTCTATCTAATATATGCAGAATGATGGAGTTACCTCAATTGTTGGTCAACTGAGTCATCAAACACGCATCCCTTTCTATTTCTATAAACCTATTATTCAAATAATCTTGCTCATTTTTACTCATGTCTGTTTCATGCCATCTTAATGTGTCCCACCATTCTCACTCTCCTTTGATTGCCTTAAAATCTTTGCTTGAAATATCCATCCTTGAAAGCGATCTCAGCATTGGGCAATAGAAGACGACAAGTATTTCCAATTTTGGGGCAATGCACAAGCCACTAGAAATGCTGTTCAATTTTGGCAGTTCAAGAAATGACATCTTCTTCAAGCTCGGAAGGAACTGGCCAGATGTCAAGTTTGAAGATTCAAGACTTACAAGGTTTTTAATTCTAGGACAATCTTGAACTATGACCTCCTCCAAATTTTCAAGATTATAAAGCATAGGTAGTGTGAAGATGGTAGTCAAACTGGGGCATGTATGCAAAGCCAAGAACTTCAATCGGAAAAGAGAATCTTTGCACCCAACTGGCCCTCGACAAATGCTCTCTAACTTCTTCATGCAATGGACGCTCAAGTACTGCAGCGACTCCAGTACAATCTGAGATTCACCTTTCTTATCTTCACCATCAATAATAGTCTCAAGCTCGTTACATTCAACCAACAAGCAAAATTTCAGCCCTTTCATGTTCTCAATCCCAAACTCAGATAATTTCTTAATAGTCCAGTGGCGGTCTAGGAAAAAGGCATTAGCATACTGGAGCACTTCAGCAATTTTGGCTGGTTCATCTTCCCCATTTATATGCTTCAAGCTTTTCTCCCATTTTTTGAATTCCTCTTCTGACTCTTGTGGTACACAAGATTCATAGGGTGGTCCATCATGGCCAACTATAAATCTAAATTTAGACAACTTCTTGCATATAGAGCCTTCCAATAGTCCAACATTGGGCAAATGTAATTTAAGAATACTCAAATATTTCAAGTTATACAGGTCATTCATTAATTCTTTCACTTCATCATCCCACCATTCATCTTCTGGATGCACTTCGATGCTTAATTCAATCAATTCAGAGAGTTCTGATAATTTCATCCTCGGAATTTTTTCTTTCTTTTTAGCTTCTAGGTAGTGGTTTGCATATCCATAGAGGCACGCGTTCAAACATGTCAAATTAACAATCTCCCCAATTACCAAAGGTGGATATATTAGCTCAGTTCCTTCAAGATCAAACACCTTAAGATTTGTAAGGTCTCCCATACAAGCTGGCAGTTTCATTAAGAGATCACAACCCCACAAGAAAAATTCTTGGAAGGAGAACAAATCAGAAATAGAATCTGGTAAAGTCTTTATGCTAGTATATGACAAATCCAAAAGTTGAAGCATGGGCATGTTTTCAAAGAACCTGTCAGGTATTACCCTCAGATTACGATTTTGTTGTAAGAACAATCTCATGAGAAAAGGACAATTAGGATGAGCCGGAAGTACTGAGAGTCTATTATTCATCAAGTGGATCTCCTTCACATTCCACTCCATCTCTTCTGGTATCCTTGTTAGTCCCAGATCCCTTGCATAAGATATGCCGGGTCCTTACCTGACACAAATACATTGAGTAAAACAATTCTGACCTCCTCAATCATGCGAAAAAATCCTGCAGCAACTTTCTCCAAAAGGAAGGAATGGTTAAGCTCTTCTAGTATCGATTTGGCTTCTTCTTCTGTATCTGCATAACCAATTCCAATCCAATCATGTATCAATAAAGCATAGTGTAAGTCTTTCATCTCACTCAGTGCAATACAATATTTGATGCAATTTTTACTTTTGTCATCCATTCGTTCCCAAATGTATCTCAACACATTAATCATGACCACACTCATACCATTCATCTCAGATGAAGGACGCCGTATTAATTCAGAATGTGCAAGTTCCACTCACTCTCATCAGTCACACCTTTCAATGCTGCGGCAAGAAGAACAATGGCTAGTAAATGGCAGTAGCATTCCTCAATTAATATAGCAGCCTTGTATTGTAATGTTGAATAATCACGAAGTACACAGCCCAAATTGTTGCAAAACAATTTCCAAGGTAGAAGGTGATCCTCCATTATGATCTCTAGATCAACTGCCAACATCTCACTAACTTCGTTGGCCTCTATTGCAAGCACAGTGGCAGCCCCATCAAAGTCCAGGTTGTGTAAATCTACCTGTTTATCCGCTATATCCACAAGCAGCAACGTCCTCTGATCAGCTGCCAAAGTCCTTAACTCTGTAATTTCCATTTTGAGTTCTGTCATGGTTATTGGATATTTTGAAGGAGAAACGCTTCTAACACAAAAATTGCCAGTTATATCAGGCAGATCTTTCAAGGTTTTCAGTACTTTCCATGAATTGCTTCCGCAAATCCCAATCTTGCCATAACTTCTCTGTTTGAAATATTCTAAAACTTGGTGAACAACAGAATTGATTGCCAAATCTTATATTTCTTGTGGGGTTGCAGCAAGACTTCCTCTCCAGTTTGCACTACAACTTTATCTGAACTGCTTCTACTTGTAGGAGGCACTGGTAGTTCATCAGATGTTCCCAGTTCTCTGATATTCCCATCCATCACTTGAGGCAGAAGACAAGAGGGGATATGAGACTCATACCTGTTCAATTGTTCTTTGACACCAAGAAGCCGATCCTGAAGGGTCACAGTATCAACTGAAAATTTTTCATAATACTCCTCCGGTGGATAAGCTTCAAGTTGTCAAAATAGCTGGTTGATTCTGGAAAAATCTTCGCTGAGTGATTTGAAGTCGAACTCTTGATCTTCTTCTGCTTTCCAGGGGTATGAAAGGATGAGGTTTAAAAAGTCCATCCTCCTCTTTAAACCCTTCACTTCTGCCTTCAAATCCTTCATTTTCATTTCCATTTCTGACAATTCTTCCTCAACCAAGGGTTCCATTTGGAATGGGTCTAAGCACTTTTCTTTAACCTTTTCCAGTTTCTTCTCCATTAACGAGGGTTTCATTTCAAACAGGTCTTCTTCTTCCCCTCCACAGCCAAAAGCTCCAATTGAGCAAGAAGCCGGTGGAGAAGTTTTAGCCTCTTCAACTATTTTCATTATTTCCTCTTCAGATTGGAAGGAGAGGTTTGGGATCTCTCTCTCGTAACAGATGGCCTGAGCTGCTTCAGCTAGTTCGCTTGGCAACTTCTTCAAGAACCATGGATGGCTTTTGATTTCTTCAATACTGATCCTCTGCAAAACAATTATAGCTAACATTTTGAGAAGTCACAAAGCATATCTATACTGACTCCATGCACTCATTTAGCATGCTTGATATCAGATCAGAATTCTTATGCCACAATCGTGACCTAAAACTTTCATTAAAATTTATGACACAAGCCATCATGAAAAATATCAGCACACAACATACAAGACGACAGATGTTCCACAAAGCATCTTGATTTTTTTCCGACATTCCTTCTCTGGGATTAAGATGATAGCATTTGTCAAAAGTCATAATGTCTCTTCCTTTCAGATTAGTAAAAGGGATAATGTTCGAGGCGCGACTCAAGGCGCCGAGCTTCCTCAACCCATGCGGCAGCAGAGGTTCCCATCCCCTGCTCAGCCTTTTTTAGCCTGCAATCAACCCACAAGTAGATCACTAAGGTGCCCACACCCTCACTCACTCACTTAGGTATATAAGCAAGCACACCAGGCTTAAGTAGCGGAAGCACGAGAGAGAGAGAGAGAGAGAGAGAGAGTAGGCAAAAGCTTCTATGCACTTACAGAAATTCGGGCAAGCAAAAAGGGTACACCCAAGGGGGCGGAAAAGGTAGGAACTTAAGAATAAGAGAAAAATGGAAGTCATAATTTCTCAAAATAGTGCTCCTGCCAGTACAGAACCTGTGAGCATCTGTTCTTAAAGCATGTGTCACAATTAGCTAGGCACAATAAAGAAGAAACCTTATCCTAATGAAAGGTGGTCAAATGATGACATCAATTGAACAAGTGTAGGTAGATGGTCCACATGTAAGTTTAGACCACAAAATGCAATGACAACCAAAATTCCTAAGAAAAAAAAGGTCTCTATCCTTATGCCTATTCATACAGAGGGTGTTTACTATTTCAATCACATCAAACCATCCCCTTCTAACTGATTAAAGATTGTTATATCTGCTTATTTTATTTGTCTATAGTTCTCCTCTTGCTATCCCTTGAGAGTTCAAATGCATGCAACATTATGAAAACTTTCCTCCATGCTTAACAGAGATGCCATCTCCTGATATTTACCAGAACTGTGTAAGAAGAAATAGCCATCCAGAGTACCAGCCAGTTTAATCTTAATAAGCAAAATTCTTATAAAATTTGGTATATGAGAGATATAGTCATAAGAATTCATTTTTCTGCAGAGTAATTTGTTCAAAAGATGTGTTCAACGCCATCAACTTGAAATACATGTATCCAAGTAGCATCTTCATGTCTAATCACATTGGATGATTACAATCTGCAATTCGCATTCAGCTCAATGCTGAAAATCATTATAAAATAAATTATATATAACATATAAGATTGCTTAAGTATGCCTCAGTCATGAACTTTCACTGCCACTGCATCATAAGAGGCAAATAAGCTGCATTTTCCAGATTCACAAGATAAATGTCAGTATCACTCTCATATAGAAAACAAGTACACTAACATAGAAATAAGTGTGTGTATATCTCAGCCAAATATAAGAAAAACACATGTGGGACATGGACAGATGTGAAGGGATAGATTGGTGGTGAGTATTGACATATAATTCTGAAATAATATGTAAACCATTGACAAGTAATAAAATTTCACCAAGATGCTTACTGGACGCATGGGAAGACCTATTGGACTAAGGAAATAATTCGAGTATCCTGTACTCCATTCTGGTGGATGATGGTATTTACAGGATGACCCAAATTTACAATCTCCAGTTTTCATGTAATATTGGCATTCAGGTTGGCCAGGTCTTTCTGGGAACTTTTGTTCCTTGAGGCTACTGCTTGAAGAACCAGGTATAGTAGGCAGTGGTAAATAAGCTCCTGTATATGCAGGCGTAGAAGGAGACAACTGTGTTAACCCATAAATAGGAGCTGCTCCAACAGTGGACGGAGTACTCAGGGAGGCTACTGGATTTACAGGTGCCTGCCCCAGGTTGGTCAATAATTTAATAGGGATATAAACATATTCCTAAAACATAGTTACTAAAAAAAAAAAACAGAAAAAAGTACAAGAATAAGAAGTCCACGGGAGCTAATCGACCTACCTGGTAAGGATCCCAACCAGTATGGGGAACCGTGCCCTGAGCGAGGAGCAAGGAACTCGAAGGCCCTTGCAAATATGAACCTGGAACTAGAGGAGGCCTTCCAACTGCCCAATTTCTAGCCACTTGTGCATATTGTTCAGGTGATGGAGCAGGAGGGGACTGTTTTGATGGATAAACTAATGAAGCAGGCATGGGAGCTGGCACAGGCAAAGGTCCAGCAGTTGGTGCCTGCACCATGCTATCTGGTAGTGGATGGTGAAATTTACACGTTGGACCAAACTTGCAAAGTCCTGTTTTCATGTAGTATGAACACTCTTTTTCACCCTGAGACAGCAACTCCAATTATGAGCCAACTTCATATCACAAGCCAGAATAAACACAAGCTCAAGTTCATACCAGGCGTAGTGGGTATCCAAAAATATTTAATGGCATGGGAGTAACAGCTCTACATCCCTGCCTTGGATGGTGATACTTGCAAGATGCACCATATTTACAAGTTCCAGTCCTCATGTAATACTAGGCACAATACATGTTCATTAATAATGGTACAAGAACCCATTTTTTCATGAAATTTAAATGTGCATGAATTGAAAGCATAAACATTAGAGAGTTAGCTAATTTACCTTAAGCAATTTCAAATCAATGGACCATTGTTTCAAGTTTAAACGTTTGTAAAGTGTAATTATACCACGTACCTGGCACACGGGTTGGCCCGCTCTCTCTGGCAACTCTTCCCCTCCAGCTCTCACAGCTCCTATGACCTGCCAGGATTCTCATCAAAGATACCTTAACTGTATTAATTTCTCAATTATTGCATCCAAGTCAACGAAACTTATTACTATAAAGACTGATTTTCTATCCATAGCAATCCCAAAACTCCACAATCTAACAAACCCAATAGAGCTAAATCATGGGCAAAAGGTTACAAATAGAATTAACAACGAGATCAGACTGAACCATCGACTAAAATTGAAATGATCTCCAACATTCGTCAAAATCCTCTAATTAGCCCTAAAAAAAGGAAAATTAAACGTGCAATTGAAAGAATATTACCGTACTACGATCCCGGTGATGGTTGTACGGACAGCGAGACCCGAACCCGCAAAACCCGGTCCGCAAATAGTGTTCGCAATCGGCAGCGTCGGGCCGCGCCAGGTACGATTCCTCCCCCTCCTCCTTCTGGTCACCACCCCCCAAGTCCCGCCGCATCATAGGCTTTGCATTTTGCAAAATCAACATCAAAACCAATCATACACACAACTCCACAATCCCAATTGTTATACGTATACACAAATGCGAGCAAAATTCCACTCAAATTGAACGAATTGAAGTATTGACTCTAATCAGAAAGAACATGCAGGCGAGAGAGATCAGACTCCAATTAAACGAGTTTGAACTACTGGTTATAACTGACTGATTCCAATCCGATTAGAAAAGCACAAATGTGGGCCAAATTCCACTTGAATTTGACGAATTTGAACAGTGGACTGACCTTCGAGCCCGGTTTCGCCCCCCGGCGAGCTCCAATCCTCAGCCGGATCGTGCTGTGGCTCTTCCATTGCCGTTGTCTGACCGTAACTCTCCATTCTACGAATTATAAATTACACGACAGATATATATGTATAGACTATATATGTGTTTATGTATGTGTATATACAGAATTGTGCGAGTGGAACGAGAGTGGGGAGGGTTCGATCGAACAGGTTAGAGAGAGAGAGAGCAAAAGATGGAGGGAGGGGAATGGGAGGTTGGATTACTTTTTTTCTTGTTCTTCTTCTTCTTCTCCTCTCTCTCTCTCTCTCTCAGTGAGTACGAGGACTGTCCGGTGCTATCGTTCGCACGCACTTTCTTTCTCCTCTTGTTTTTCTCTCTAAAAGTATATTCTGTGTGCGCGCGTCTTTGTTTTCCTAATGTCTCACCCGTTTTCAGGGGCGTTTGATCTTTCGGGGCTTTGTAGGGGAAGGCAACTGTTAGGTGCACGTGCGTGTGTATGCGTGCACGTGCGAGGGGGAGAAAGATAAGAGAGAGGGGCAGGCCACATTCGTCGGTTAGGCTCTCGTTCGATCTCACGGCTTGTTTGGTAGACAGTAATTCTGGTTTTGAATTTTTTTATTCAGAGAATGTTTGAAATTTTAAGGTTTTTTATTTTATTCAGAAAAATAGAGCTCGAATGTATAACTTTTTATTGAATAAAAAAATAAGATTATAAAATTTTAAAAAATGTTTTTTATGAGATTTTTTTGTCTTTTAAAAGTGCAGAAAATTTAAAAATAAAACTTCCAGTACAACCCTTCAATTTTCAAAAACGTGTTTTATATACATTTGTGTTATTTTATATATCTGACTTCTCTACGAAAAGTGTCAAAAATCAAACCTTTAGCTCTCTTTATAAATCTCATAATTATTTTATTACTTAAATTATACTTTTATTTCTTTATTTTTATATTTTGGAAAATACAAATTACTAAAAATTCTTTAAAATATCTGTAATAACTCAGATTTGTGACTAGGGGTATAGGTGATTAAACTAAGAGTGTTTGGGGGGAAAATGAAAATTTATGGACTGAAGTGAAAAGAACAAAAATTTGGAGGACCGAATTAAATAAAAAAAAAAAAAAAAAAACTGGCCGACTTTCTGCTGAAGCACCCAGAATTAGTGATTTGCTCCAATAAGAGCTAAACAACTCAAATTAGATTTAAGGCTTGATATATAAGCAGGAGATTAGTCCAATTAAAGGTTCAAATCGAGAAAAGTTGTAAGAAAAAGAAGGAAAAACTGAGCGGGAAGGGTCGCGGTACGGCCAGAGCTTCGACGGGGAGAAACCTTGATTTTGGATGAAATAAATCTGATTAAAGGTGGTGGTGGAGCTCGGAAATCGTGGGACTTGGGTTCGGAAGCTTCAAATCAGCTCAGGTAAGTGTATTGATCTAGTTTTGAGCTTGGGAAAATCCGGGTCTGGCAGTTGCAAGAACCGAGAGGGGGGGATCAGGTTGCGGGCGAGGGAGAAAGGACCCGGAGTGATCCGGGTCCTGTGCCGGGCTGGGCCGGGCTCGTTTGGGCCCGGGCTTGGCCCGTCTGGGTGGGGTCGGGCCCGCTGGGCCCGGGCTTTGGCCGTCTGGGCTACAGCCCGCAGGTTGACTCAGCCTAGCAAAAGTTTGTCTGGGTTGACTCGGCGAGTCAACACAGTAAATCTTGGGATATGCTATCCCGGGTATAGGCCAAATCTGGAATAAGGAGGGACTGGGGATAGGGGGGATTACATAACCAGGTATTAAATGAATTAATAATTAAATTAGGGTTTTCGAGTAGTAAACCAACCGATTTGACTGAAGCTTTGACCGGGCGGTTCAATGGTCAAATGGACTCGGATTTGGGAAGTTGAACCGGTTCTAGGTTTGGGGAGAAAATACCAACCAAATCAAGTGGCTCAGGAAATTTTGGGTGATCGGTTCGAGGTGAATCGGTCGGTTTAGTGTAATTCCTTTGAGTGACCGGTTCACCCGTTTTTAAGCTGGTTTTGGGGGAGATTGAACCAGTTCCTGGTTCAACATGATAAAACCTAGTTGACCGTGAAATTTGGTAAGGTTTGGAGGTCCAGTTCAAGGTGAACCGGCCTCATTTTGCATACTGATGTCCCGAAATGGGGTTTTTGGCCCGGTTCAACCCAACTTTAGAGGTTTTTGGCCAGGTTAATGTGGTTCCTAAGGTTTTTGGGCCTTCTGAATCCATTTTTGAGGGTTTTGTAACCAATCAAGTTGAGTTCGAGGTAATTTTTGGATCGGGTTAGGCCAATTTGGGGGTTCCGGGAACCAGTTCACTATGGGTTGGGGGTGGTGGAGGCTGGTTCTGTACTGTTGAGGGTTGTTGAGCCAAAGTGTAAGTATTGGTGAGTCACACGGGATCCGGTAGTGAGTAATGGTGCCTCAGGATGCGTGTTAGGTGCAGGGATAGGATTCAAATCCTGTCTTGGGCTGTCGAGCCCGTCAGGTACTAACGATGGGATTGGTGATGGTTTTATATGGCTTGATTTCAGATTCACCTGTGGAGGAGTATCCGGATCGCAGAGTTGATTGCGTGACCTAAGGCTTTTATTAGACTCGGCTTATGGTGAGTGATGATACCCTCCCTATGCATGTATTTTTGTACTTGTTTTTCTAACATGATGCCTGCATGGATCTACGAAGTGTTTGAAATATGAATCTTGGAATGTGTTATATGTTTTATGGACTGTTAGTGAACTATGTTGATATGTACCCCTAGTTTTTGGAAATATGAACTTTGTACGTGTATGTGTACTTGTCTTTGACTTGTGTATGAGAATGGTGTCGTGTAATATGATGTGGAGATGCCAGGAACTCGGCTAGAGTATGGATTCGTAGCGTCCAGTGGTGAGTTGGCTTGGGTCGTGTGTGATGTGGCGATGCCAGGAGCTCAGCTGGAGTACAGTGGTCCGTAGCGTCCAGTGGTGAGTCGGCCTGGGTCATGTGTGATGTGGCGATGCCAGAAACTCGGCTGGAGTACGATGATCCGTAGCGTCTAGTGGGGAGTAGACCTGGGTCCAGTGTGGTGATGTGAGTTGATATGCTGTGATGTTATATGATGTGGTGCTTGGTTAACGGTATCTTTTCGAGGAGGTTTGATATGTTTTATTAATTTCTGTATATATATGCATGGTTTTGGTTTGAGCATAAGGCATATTTTAACATGCATAAAGTAGGTATTATCCGTACTCACTGAGTTTTGCGACTCACTTTTTATAAACTTTTCAGATATAGGTTGCAATTCTCGGGTTGCGTGCCAGGGTTAAAACGGACGTCTGCCACACCAGTTATTGTACGGACAAGTTCTTTGTTTATCGTTTTGTACTCTAGAGCTCCCTTTATCCATCAGGCAAGATCCTGGCTTGTAAATGAATATTTTGAAATGTACATAAATGTTTTGGTCAATTTTGGTGTCTGTGTTATGACGGTAAGGCTGATTAGGATCGGGGACCCTAGTGCCAGTCAGGGTCTGGGTTGGGGGCCTGACAGAGTGGAATCAGAGCAATAGGTTTCCTGAGAATAAGGGGAGCATGGTTCTTGGACAGTGCTTCGGTTATGAGGGTGAGGGCCCCACTTTCATAATAGGAGGACTGCCGGGAGCCTCTTAGGATGTGCTTGGCGTCAGTTTTGAATTCCTTTGTGCCCGTACTAATTGGTGTTATTCTGATTCTGTAGTTCTATATAGATGGATCCTCCGGGAGGCGTGCGTACTACTCCTCGAGAGACAGTAGATTCTGGGGTGTCTGAGGACCCCGCGCGGTGTAGCTGTTCCACCTTCGACGAGAGAAAGAGAGAGAGGGAGGGGGAGAGGGAGCGCCAGTAAATGTGGGACGACAGCGAGGCCGGCACGTGAGTCAGCGGCAGGTCCAAATTTGACTATGTTGCCTGGGTTGTTGACGGGCCTTTTGGAGGGCATTCAGGGACTTCAGAGGAGTATGACAGAGTTTGTGGGGAATGGGGCTAGAGCGAGTGGGCAGTCAGCCCCAATTAGTGGGCAGGCAGGTATTGCCACTGCCCCTGTTGGGACAACACTAGAGTCGTCGGGTCCAGCTAGTGCGCCGATTGGCACTCCTGCTACTCTAGCTAGTTTAGCCCCGGTGCAGCAGCAGCTAGGCTTTGATGGGTATTTTTGAGATTTTCTGCGGCTGGATCCTCTACTTTTTCTGGATCGATTGTGACAGAGGATCCCTACGAGTTCTTGGACGCTTTGGATGGCATATTTCGGATTCTGCAGTGCTCTGACCTTAGACGTGTAGATTTGGCTACTTTTAGACTTAGAGGGGTGGCCAAGGCGTGGTATGACTAGTTAGTAGCTGCTAGACCGGTTGGTACGGCTCCTCTAGCCTAGGAGGAGTTTCGCAAGGAGTTTTTAGAGAGATTCTCACCTACCAGTTGGCGGGTGGAGTTGGCTACCGAGTTCGAGAGGTTAGCACAAACTCCAAGTATGACAATTTCTGAGTACGAGGAGCGATTCACACGGTTATCTCGGTACGCTGTTGGGCTTGTTGCTGATGACACTGCACGAGCTACGAGATTTATTCGGGGATTATCTCTTTCTTTATTCTGGGCATTGGGGTCGCAGGTAGGGCATATTAGTTATGCTTATGCAGTGGAGAGTGCTCGATTCTTGGAGTCTTTTGGGGGGCCTGGGCAGACTTCAGAGGGATCAGGGAAGAGGGCGAAGGCTGAGGGTTCCTATAGTGGCAGTTTTAGTCCTAGGAAAGGATCCTCTTCGCATAGTGGATCCACTAGCAGGCAGCCATCAGGCAGTGTAGCCCCATCTGATGGCCGTACCTCTTCCACTCCTAGCTATGTTAGATGTGGTCGCGTGCATTCAGGTTAGTGCTTTAGGGCAACAGGGGCATGTTTCAGGTGTGGCCAGCAAGGTCATGTGATCCAATGTTGCCCGCTTTCTCAGGAGACTGTCCGAGCGATAGGCGCATGTTTTAAGTGCGGTCAGCAGGGTCATGTGGCTAGAGACTGTTTGTAGGACCTTGCTGAA